ATATATATATATATATATATATATATATATATATATATATATATATATATATATATTAAAACAAATATATATACTATAAAAAAAATATTTGGTATTTGTAACTATAATTACATAGAGGAATAATTACTGTAAATTATGGCTGAAAAAAATCATTTTTAATTAAGTTCTACTATAGTTAGAGATAAAATAACCTTATATGCATGTTACTACTACCATTTTGTGTTAAAACGATCCGAAAATAACTATGATTTTAGTTAGTTCAACCATTTTTTCCTCTCACAAGTAAACCTACCCAAAAGTTACACTCCGATTTCTTTCTAATTTGGTACAAATGTAGAAGTATAAGAAATATTTAGATCATATTTTCTCATTTTGGCCCACTTTGAGTTTCACGGGCAGTTTATAGCTTTTTAATGATCTCACTCCTATCAATAAGTGCAACAAAAATACATAATAAATAAAATTGAATATAAGATATAGGCCTTTTTGGTTTGCTGATATTGAATATGAAGTCAAATGTGTAAAATTATTTGTATAAATAATAGAATGTTTGAACAAAACATGTAAAAAGTTGAAAAAAAATTATTTATATAAATAATTTTTCGATTTGGCCGAGATTCGAACCATTTTTGACTAATTTAGCATAGATATGAAATATTTCGGTTGAAATCTCGGCTAAAGAAATTTAGAATGGTTCATGTCTCAGCTATGCCGATTTTATTAAAATTTTAATTAAAATTGCCGGATTTCCCTTTTTTTTCTCAGTTTGACCGAAATTCGAACCATTTTTTATTAATTTAGCACAAATTTGAAATATTTCGGTTGGAATCTTGGCTAATGAAATTTAGAATGGTTCGTGTCTCAGCTATGCCGATTTTGTTAAAATTATTTAACTATGTCTTGTATTCAATTTTATTTCTTATGCATTTTTGTACTTGTTGATGATAAAAGTGAGAATATTAAAAAACTATAAGCTCGTGAAACTCAAAGTGAGCCAAAATGAAAAAATATGACCAAAATATTTCTTGTACTTCTACATTTGTGCCAAATTAGGAAGAAATTGGAGTGTAACTTTTGGGTAGGTTTACTTGCCAATGCATAGATGTCAACCAACTTTTCATTCAATGAAGTTTTACAATATTTTTATCAAGAGAATAAATTCTTCTTTTGAGTACATGATATTGAGTTTTTTTCAAACGTGTGCGACGAGTATATTTTACGATGATCATCAAGAAAAATTCTTAGCTGAAGATAACCGTTACTTAAAAAAAGGAATATAAACTGAGTAATCCCTTATCTTAGCGGCAGAATGATATCTTTTCTCGCGTGTTTGCCATCACCGTACACACTCACCAAAATCGTCTTTAATTAACAATCCAAAACTTCATGTGGTAATTTGTAAAATGCTAGTGGAATTTAATATTTTTTTGGTTTGATCTAATCTGCATATACACGAGCGTTCTTGCAACTGTCGTCAGACACCCTCTATAAATATTACAAGAGGGAGGATAAGAATCGGAAAGGGTAAAAGTAGAGGAGAGAAAAAAAGAAATTTGTCACGAAAGTGAGTTCACGGGGAAGTCGTCACATCTCGTATCACGGTGAAGCGCCGCGGGTTTAACTGATCGACAGTTTATAAAGATAGTGCTTACAACGAGGTGGACGCCACCCGGCCGAGGGGATGCTGAAAGTGCAAACGCGAGAGCGTGTTGTCGAAGAACACGACGTCGATATATCCTATTTCCGTTGATCGACGCTGCGCGCCCGTCCGCGCGAATTCCGAGCATCAAAGTAAAATTGGTTTCACGAGGGCGTAGGAGGAGAAGGAGGAAGAGGAGGAGAGACGGCGAGATCGGGTCCGGAGGTGAACGTTACGCGCTTCACCGGGACGTTCACCTTCGCGGTCGCGATAACCACCTTTCTGTAAATTTCATCGGAGGTCATCGCGATATTTCACAAACGCCTGCTTTTTGTGCTCGCCGTCGTTTCCGCAGCGCGTTACAATGTTCGCGGTGCAGGCCGATAGTCGATACGGGAGGAGGCTTTGATATACTTGTCATTGTTGTATCTACTCCGCGACAGCGCGCTTTTGTTCGCGCCCGATGAAATATACACGGGCACTCGGCATTTTTATTCGACAGTATAGATAGAGAGACGGGAGCGCGTACTCGCGAGTCTCCATTGTGACAGTCGCGCAATCGTACCGCAGATGATCTCCAGGGCAAATTTACCTCGACCCCGCCGTTAACGAACACTTCGGTTAAGTCAACGTCCGAAATGGCAGGGAGATAAAGGAGGAGGAGGAGAGAGAGAGAGAGAGAGAGAGAGAGAGAGAGAGAGAGAGAGAGAGAGAAGGCAGAGAGAGAATCCGATTTCTCTCGTGCCAGGTGAGAATCTTTCTCACGCGGAGGGTTTTGCGAATAATTCGCGCGAGGCGCCGTAAGCCGGCGGTCTCATTCACGGTTCCGTTGCGAATAATGTCGACGCGTCTTTGCCATTTCTTTGAGGTTGCCTCGGTTCTCGCGGGTTCGCGCCTTTCGACGCGCCTTTGACAATACGTCATTACTTTTCGAAATGGAATCTTTACTCGTCGCTTGGCTCACCGTCGTGTTTCTCCCTCATTCTCCTCTTTTCTCTCTTTCTTTTATATTCTTACGACGAATTCAGCAGGAAAGTCCGAAACAGAAAGACAGAAGCCAATCAATATTCGCGCTAATGATTAGGTAATAGTCGACAGTTTCAATTTTTCTAGTCCCGATTCTGATTGGCTTCTGCCTTCATTTTCAGTTTTTCTGCCAAAGTATGAATTCTTTCTCCCTCTATCTCTCTCTGTCACTCTCTCACACTCTCTCACACACACACTCTTTCTCTCCTCCCTCTCTCTTCTTCACACTCTCACACACTCACATATTCTTTCTCTCTCTTTCTATCTCTTTCCCGCGCCGTCGATTGCCTCGATATATCGAGTCGATAGATCGTTCCCTCCTCTCGAGACCTGTTAATCGTGATGCGCACGTTATTTAATTTCCATCTTAATCGAAACTTTTACATAACGCGATTAACGACGGTAAATAAGTCCCGCGATGTAACGTAAACGCGCTAAAACGAGTATTCTCAACCCGAGTCGAAATTTCAGCTTTACTTTGGATCTGAACTTTCTTACATCTGTATATCCCGAAGGATCAGTGTGTGTGAGACACACATAGAAACTGAAATCGTGCTTAGCGTCCCAGAATGGCAGAAAGTGCACAAAATGCCACTTGTACGTTCTAAAGAGGACCTCTCGACAAAGCTAGTGGGTTAAATAGAATCAAACGAGGTTGATATAAACTTCAAACTGTCAAATTTATTACGTCACAGTGTTACGCGTTAAATAGAATATTGAGGTCAAAAGCAGGATCAAAATTTTGACTCGGGAATTTCGAAGGGATCGAGCAAACTAGAGAAGTTATCTAAGCGTTAATTGGAAAGCGTGACGGAGACTCGAGCGATTTGCTCTTCGTGAAATTTGCGCGACAGAATATAGAAGAAACGATCGATGATCGTGAGGGTGAGAGAGGAGGGAGGCAACGGGGGCGGCAATCATGACGCAGCGAGCACCGCCGACACGATAAAAAGCGGAAACGTAATTCATAACTTTCGTGTGCGGCGCAAGGCGCGTTTAATTCGAGCTTTCGGCAACTTCGCGCAGCAGACAACGCGCGCCGTTAATTGGACTGATTAAAATTAAGCGGCGAAAGCGCTCGTTAT